GGATGCCAAGATATATGAAGGAAAGTTTGTCAAACTGAGCGAGATCTTGAAGGGAGTTATTATTAAGACTTTTTTCGACGCTATGAACGAGGTGAGGGTCCTGAATTCGTTTACAAAGGTTAAAGGTCTAAATGTTGGCTATTTTGTACATGATGACCAGATCTATCAAACCATTAAGGACATGTTAGACTTGTTAGTGGACTTCATATGATTCAATGATGATGACACCCCGCCAAGTTGAAAGACCAAAATGCTTATTTATTTTGTAGTTCTCCTTCCCTTCTTTTTAATTTGTTCTTCTTTTATCTTCCTTTCCTTTTTAGCTTGGTTTGGGCGACCCCTCTCCATATCTAGGATCTCGGTACATTTAAAGGGGTATAACTTTCATACCTCTCTCGGGTTGGTCAGATGTCAATGTCTTTGGGACAGATCTCTATCGTCATGCAGCCACAATGACCTTCATCGTCTCTAATGAGAGGTAGGGGGTTGTAGTCTATCTCAAGCATAGGCTCTCTCAATCTTTTTTATTTGGACGTATTTAGAGGCCCTCTCTTTAAATTTAACGAGGTTGGTTATAGGAGTTTTGTGATGGATCTGCGAAATGGTCCTTTGTGGAGTCTAGCAGTGACTAGGTGGACATGGACCATTAGATCAAAATGTCCAACCTTGATTGCTTTCGCATTGAACCAGTCTAGGTACTCGTGCAATGGTCCACCCTCGAGTTGTGATATGCCTCCAGCATATGTGTGAATCTAAGTGAAAAAGAGAAAGAATATTGATTAATCTTGGATAAAAAGGGCAGTAATTACTGTTAATTTGATAAATCTCAATCAGAGATTGTACAATTGATTTTCTTCTGATTTTGTAGGAAAAGGACAATAAGGAGCCAAATTTGGAAGTACAAAACCGAAGACCCACGCTATTAGCGCGGAACCCGCGCTAGTAGCGCTCGAAGAAAATTACATCCAGAGGCATCCACGCTCACTGCGTGAAACTCACGCTAGTTGCGCCAGACGTTCTTGCAACCCACGCTAGTAGCGTGAGAACCACGCTAGTAGCGTGAGAACCACGCTAGTAGCGCGAACTCCCAGTCTTGTTAATAGAACTCCCACGCTGACAGCGTGAGAGGTGCGAACAATCAGCAGTAAATCCTATTCTAAATCAGAGAAAAATCGGACTGAGATTTACAACGAAGATTTAATCAAGATATATGAGCAAGATACAAAGTCTATAAATAGAGGCTTCGACTCTCAGAGACAGACATCTTTGGCTGATAGAACTGTGAGGATCATAGAATTGAGAGAATTCTTGGAAACTCGCGCTAGAGATCAGAATTCCATCGGAGTTGAAGGCTGAAGACCTTGAGTTTTTATTCTTCTTCTTCTTTTTTTCTTAGTTTATGAACAATTTTTATTCTTTTAATTTGTTTAAGCCAGCTATGTCTGGTTAGTTTCTTTTTGTAGTTGGGATCACAGACCCGATGTGAATCCTTTATATTTTCTATATTGTTTTTATAATTTAATTAGTTTGTTTGTTTTATTCTACCTGTGTTAATTTTTCCATATCTTTTTTAGAATTGGCCACTCTAAATTATAGGGCTTTGAGGGTTAGAATTCACAATAGACATACTGGGGTTTTAATCTGGACAAGGGTAGAATAACAATTTATGTATGATCTAGACATAGGCTTACATAGATTGCAGCCTCATAATTCATTTGTTTAACGCTTGATTCAAGAGGAATTACTAAAACATTAGGATTCTAATTGGGTTAAAGGGTTGAAATCACTAAGACATTAGGGTTCAACTATTTTATAAGAAAATAATGAATTGTCTGAGCAAACCAATTAATTAATTATAAAATACAATATAGGAATATAAGGGAGGATCGGAGGTGAAGTGCATCCTGACTACATCTTTTTTACAAATTTCTATCAATATTTTCTTACGTTCTTGGTCTTCTCTTGCATGCGTTGGAAATTAATTATTTTTGACTTTCTTTTTTTAAATATTATTTTATTTTAAATTCTGTTTTGAATTCCAAAATCAATCACTTTCACAATACAAACAAATTTTCTCTTCCAACTTAAGGGGAATAGTTAAACTAGTACTTGGTGCATTAATCCTTGAGGGAACGATACTCTACTTATCACTTTATTACTTGAAACGAACGATATACTTGCCATTTTCGCAACAAGTTTCCTAACGGAGGATCGTAGAACAACTTTGGTTGAACTTGGCTGGTTGTGAAGTTCGTCAAAGACAATTAGGATAGGTCCCTTAATGAGTTGATGGAGTGCGGGGGCAAAGAATTAAACCAATATGGGATAAATCCTTTGAAAGTGGAGACGAATACCCTAACGACATAAGGCTCACAGGCCCCAATCAGGATCATACATGTGTTGAAATTGTCCAAGTGCTCCCGGGGGTCATGTGTGTCACCTTACTTGGTAAGTTAGGGTTGTTATCATCCAGGGGATGGGAGCACTGTCTTAACCCAATTTATGAAGGGGTCATCTCCTTCCACCTCATCGTTTGGTGAGTTGTGGTTGTCATGGCTTTGGACAGAGCTGGCAACATGCAATTGTGAGAGGTCAACCCTAGGCGTTGGCCATTAGTGCTTCCCATATTGCTGATTTCCAGTTTAATGGTTATTATGTTGATGGTTGATGAGCAGTCTACCCTGGTTGTTATCGCCTTAGTTGTTGGGTGGGGGTTGAAGCATGTTTTCTCCTTGTCTTATTCTTCTCTCCATGTCATTCAGGTGTTGTAGGATCAGAGCCATCATGGTTTGCATAGGGTTTTCTCTTTGGTTGGCTGCGCGTGGGCTTCGACGGGCAGATGGAATGAAGAAAGATGACATTGTTCCCCCAATGGTTGTTTTCCAGCGTATTAGGGTTATGCACATCTTATTGTTTGTCTCCTGCTGCAGTTATTGTTGCTGGTGGTGCTGTGAGGAGGTTAGTGTTAATGGTGGTTTTGCAAAGTGTTGCGTGTGTTCACCATGGTTAGATGGGAATCGAAGTGTTGTGTGTGAGGAGGTTAGTGTTAATGGAGGTTAGTGTTATCGATTCCTACAAATGATGCTAATGTTTGATACCTGGGGATTAAATATTGCTATAGGATCTGAGAGTTAGCAGTGTATATGGAGGAGACCACCACAAGTGATGGCAGATCATTATACTCTATGAGGAGGCTGAGAGTCAAAAAAAATTGTTGATGTGCACAATGACAATAAGGAGGCTAGGGTTTCAGAGAGAATACGTGTGAGATGAAACCCTTTTTTTATAAATAATTTCTTACTTGGGAATGGGCTAGTACCAGCTCGCTTAGCCAATCCTAGAGCTCGTGAAGTGGGTCCATAATTGAAATTAATAATGAAGTAAAATATAGATCAAAAATGTTTCTATTAAGGGTGAGACACATCACATATAGAAGGTATAGTAGCGTGCTTATGTTTGGTATTTGTAAAATATTTTTTTGATAGCTTGAAGGGCAAAGCCCAAGAAAAAAAAAACTAAGAGTATAAAGTGAGGGAGAAATACAAATTTAAAGCGATTTATAAAATATCTATGAAAATAATGCAATCAGTTGTACATTATTTTGGGCGCAACTGGCCACATGGCAAACTCTGGTAAGTTACGTCCAAATTGATGCATAACTAGTTGCACATCAGTTTAGGCGTAACTCACTAGAGTTTGCCATATGGCATTAAGGGAACCTTTATATTACACAGACGTCAACCTTTAGTGCAATGTGACAAGCTCTGATAAGTCACTCCCGAATTGATGTGCAACTAATTACGCATCAGTTTGGGTACAAGTACCCAGAGCTTGTCATGTGGCCAGTTGCACAAAAATTGATGCACAACCAGTTACGCCCAAAATGGTGGGAGCAACTAGTTGCTTTAGTTCTGTAGATGCTTTATAAATCGCTTTAGATTCATATTTTTTATTTAAATTGCAATTTTTTAAAAAAAAATTCCCCCTAAAACGATACGGGTCTTCGAACAATCTCACGTGCTAGAGATCATCCAAATACTAAAATTTTAACTACCACTCCCGTTATGTAGCTTTTTTCAAGATTTTCTTTGATAAAAGTGGAATAGGGAAGTGGTAATTTTTAAAAAAATAACATTAACAATCTTTTTAATTACTTTTAAGGAAAAAAATTAAAAAGATAAATATAAGAAAAGCCAATTGCAGTTAATATTCATCAAAAATTAATTTCCTTTTCTAATTTCTTCTTTTACTTTAAGGGAACACCGAACACTATAGTAAAATCTTGTGGAAGAAGAGACAATGAAAAGAGAAAGGAGGTGAAGTTAATAGTGAAATTCAAACCCTCGCAATCATATTGCATATTTAACGACTCTATTAATTAGATTGTCTTAAGAAAATTAATTTTTTTTAATTAAACTGGTGTTTAAGAAAATTTAGCATATCTCAATTTTAATCTGTTTTTGTGTGTGTATGTGTGTGGGATTGAATATTTATTTTGTTAAGATGTGGGTGTATTTTAAAAATTGTAAACTTTCTTTTTAAGTATTTTTAATATAATTACTCTCTTGATTTTTTTTTTTTTTTGTGAAAAATTACTTCGTCAGTGTTATAAAAATTACGTTTTCAATATGTATTTGTTACGTTTTGAAAATTATTTATTATTGAGCCTCATGATTATTCCAGACAAGAGAGTGCAGTAGGGAAATTCGTTTGATTATCTTATACTGCCTGAGAGTATTGAAAACATTTAAATTGAAATATCTTTTTTAATATAACCAAATTGTGTCCAGACTAGAGTGCACCAATATTACATGCAAAGAATTCAAAAAAGGTGGTGTCACAGTACAGAAATTTATAGTGTAAATAAAATGAGTAGCATAGCACAGTTCAGTGTGGAACAGCCATTTAACAAATCGGGACAACAGAGTAATAGAGACGATGAAAGAAATCAAAACTGCAGGAAATTAAAGCATGTTTTAATTCACTAGATCATTCTTGAAACTTCTACTAACATCCCCTGCTTCCTCCTGATAAGATCCTACTCCTAAGCATGTGCAACAACATATACAATCAACTACAAACAATCAACAAATAAATGAATTTTTCTGTACAAATTTTTTACCTAACTGTAGATTGGGTGTAACAGGAGCTGTGTTCAATATGACCACTTCCTGACATTTAGGCACCCAAAGGCCTTCATTGCTGAAAATTATTCAAAGCAAACCTCTTCAGGGTATATCAAAGGGTGCTTTCCTACAGAATAAGATTAACTATAGCTGCAAAACTGGTGGTTAGTTCTAAATCTTCCATGTGCTCTCTATACTTCCCCAATCAATCCACACTAGTAAATGCAATCTCATGACGTCAAAAGAAACCAAATAGCCAGCATCTCTACGAGTCCCCAGCATTTTGAAGCCTGACTTGCTCATGAGCCTTCACCACCTCCGAAGTGAAACTTTCTAATGTCTTAAAAATGGGAATCAAACCAGCTTGTAAACTATTAGAAGCTGCATCATTAACAAGCTTAATGGCTTCTTTGTGCCTGACCCTCTCCTCATGTAATCTCTTCCTCATAGAATCTAAATCCACCTTTAGATCATCCAGTGGTGAAACACCACTATCAGAATGAAGCTTCGACAATGCAGTCTTTCCTGAAACTTTATCATGCTCATGTTCTGAGCTTCCCATTTGTGAACGCAAAGTTCTAATCTGTTTCTCAAAGTCCTTTGTGAGATACTCTGCTTTTATTCTCTGGCGTTGCTCCTCATCGTGCCTCTCCCATAGCTCATGTAGTTTTAAAGCAAATTCACGCATGGCATCTGCAACCATTCTTTCTGAAATTCTATCCATTGCTTGATGCCAATCATTGCAAATTATGAAAACTGGTGGGGCTCCAATCCGACTTGGAGAGAAAGGGACAATACCATCAGCTGTTTCTTCAGGTTCATTATGAAGGCACCTGATGAGCCACTCATTCAAATTTTTGACATAAGATTTTTGAGTCTTAACCCAATTGTTGAACTGACTGCACCAATTCAGAAGCTCCTTTTCAAGTTCTAAGATAGCCTTCAAACCTTCATCTCTTTGCAAACCAGTGTTAATCTTAAGCGACTGAGTTTTACTCTCCATGATAGCTTGGAACTGTTTCTGGTGGCATCTGAGCATGAATTTCCACATTCTTATTAACCTGCTGACAAATAGGCAATTCGTCAAATCAATAGCTTCGTAACTTCTAACTTAAAAGGAAAAAACAATAGATTTTGCCATCCAAAACCAAGTATAATACTAATAATGACGTGTAAACTAGTCTTCAACCACTTCCCATGTGATGAGAGACAATCACTGAAGCCTATTTCTCATCCATTTAGTCCCTCAAAGATATAAATTGGCTCCGTGTCATCCCTCTATCCATCTTAGACAAACCTCCTCAAGGGAATGTCTGAGTTGGCACATTAAGTACTTCGTCACCATCAATTCTCGGCCTCTTGCATTCAGGAGGGCTCTGATATCAGCATTAATAGTGACACCAAAGCATTTAACTTGCAAGCTCAAACATTCCATGACTTAACAAATTGCCCTTTGAAATATTAACCAAGAAAAAAATGCATTTGAGCGTATTTTCTTATCAGAATTTAAATGTTTGTGGTCAGAAATTACCAAGCACTGACAGAATATTATTAGCATAGTAAATAAGTGAAGCAATTTGATACCCATTGATCAATTCTGCAAGTTGAGGCTGCAATTCGTCATCCCTCAATTTATGTATCTTCCCTGATATAGCTTCAACAGTTCTGATGCAAATATTCATTTTTGTCAGCAACTTCCTTATTGATGCCTCAGTAGCATCAATTTTACTAGTTTCAGCACCTCGATAATCCAATGTTTTCAGTCTCTTGCATTGTTTCTCATAAATAGCTCGCAACCTCTCTTCATCCTGAGAACAGTACAAAAATATTAACATATAAGCACAATTTGAAATTAGCAAAGTATGATATTATCTAAAGTCATTTATTAATACAAGTAACATACAATAGAAAATGATGACATATTTGACATTAAACGGTATATGTTCTTGAGTTAAGAAGTTTCACATTACATCCTCTCCTCTCAAACAAAACGAAAGTATGAAAGGGAAACTATATCATAGGAAATTTAGAAGCCTTTGTCCTCAGAAAGTAGGTTATATAGCAAATTAGTAAGATGGATATCAAATTATCAATAGCTCAAACCATTTCTAACTTCATGAATCATTTCAGTTTAAAGAGTCTTGACTGATTTCAATGTAATCATTTTCATACCTTAACTTCCTTATACAATTTCTTTTCCCACGCATAAAGTTTCTCCAATGTAGATGAAAGGTTTTCCGTATTGGCCTTGAAGTCATCCCCAGGTTCCCCACAGTATGCTTTTGCCAATTTCATTGCCCTAGAAGAATATTGTATTGGTGGCCTAGAAGGAGGATGCGAAGGTAACCCGGAAGGTGCTACCATCTGCAAGATCCTGGAAAAGATAACTGCATAAAAACACATAACAAGACATTAAATATGAAAACAGTAACATTTAGAACAAAAATTAAATTTTTTTATCAATAAAGCCTTACAAAAAATATATGCAGTAGAAAATTCATCTAAAAGACTCATTAATTTTGATCTTTAAATCAAACTGCACCTGCATTTTCTTGAAGCACTCTATGTATGGGAATATAAAGCCAAAAGGTGCGTAATGAAAAATACAATTACCTTATAATTATTCAACTTTGCTAACAATTTATCATGCAATCTGGTACAGCCTGCACTCTGTTTCTACTAGCTAGATTACTTGTTTAAGGAGAGAAGAAAAGTAAATAGAACGAAAGAAAAAAGAGTGGTTGTCAATTAAGGGAGTAAAATAACATCTCAATATAATTGGTAACACTCAGTATAAAAAACATTCTGCCCGTGGACTCATGCTTGCCAAACCACAAGAGCCTATTATTGAAAGTTGTAAAACAACAGTGTTTTATAATAAACCTGCTTCCATTTAATGAAGTAAATAGCTTCTTCAAATAGTGTTGAGAGTATGATGAGTTGCATAAATATAGTAAAACACAGGTAACCAGTGTCCATAACATGATCTTCAAATTGCATAACTCTTGTTTATTCTAGCAAGATATAAGCACACTGCTGAAGCGAAAAGAATCAAAAAGGAAATTTTGCATGGTATTAGATGCTTGGTTTCTACTTCCTAACATCCATAACCAATGTACACCTAATATTTTCATTACATAAAAAGGGCAAACCCGGTGCACACAAGGCTCTTGATTTGCAAGGATAGGGGTGAGAATCAATTGTTTACTGCCTTACTCATATATTTTTGCAAAGAGGCAATATCTTGATTGCATAGATTCCATATTTTTCTAATTTTCCTGCTCCCTCCCACTTTCTTCCTCAACAGGTTCACGTCTCAACAGAAGCAGAAGAAGCAAATAATAGAAATACTAACAGTCACAGACACATAAATGGCTATATGAAAAAGTCCATCCAATATTAGGTAAGGTAGTATGCAGAATGCACCAAAAAAAAAAGCATTAATTACAAGCATACCTCTAAATGCAGCAACTTTTGACCGATAAGGTGGTTTGCAAACCTCAAGCAGCAGAGCAACCTCTTTTCCACAATTGGAGGCTGTCTCAAACTCATCTCTTATTTCCTGAACAACCTCACGGAGATCTCTGGTTCCATGAGCAGACAAAGTGGTTACGCTACTCAACACTGAAGACTCACCATCCACCGCTGTAACAGTTGCTTCATCAACAACCTCAAAACTCACCCCTTTCTTACGGGCATTCCCTTCGGGAGAGCTTTCAGAAACAACAGTATCAGGACTGCTTTTAATCTCCTTTTCATGTGAAAGAGAACTACCATCACTGCCATGGAACCGCACTGTCTTGGAACTTCCCTCACTGCTACTCACTTGTTGTAACGGCACTGCCTTGGAATTCGAAGTACCCTCACCGAAGTCTCTGCCTTTAACAACTTTTTCCTTTTGGGGCTTTTCATCTGCAAACTTTTTCTTCTCCTTGTGACGAATCTCCTCTTTCACAACTTCATGTTCAGTCTCGTCTTCCAATTCAGGAATCCCTTCCCTTTCTCTAACCTCCTTCGAATCAGGACTACTCGCAATCGATCCAATCCCGTACTTTCCCTGATAACCGTAATCGTAGCTGTCAAAAAAGTTAAGGAAATCCCAAGTGGAGACTCTAGGCGGCGAAGGCGGTGCCGGAGGTGGAGGAGGAGGAGCCGGCGAAGACGACGGCCCCGCCTGAGAATAATAACTGTAATCCCCCGCCGGAGACCCAAAGAAACCACCGTTCCCATACCCATAACCATAACCATACCCATTTGGTGAATCAGAGGTCCATTGCCCAGTTTTTGCCACGTGTCTCTCTTCCTCCTCGTACACCATCGACTTTCCATGAGGTGCAGAACTCTTCATGTAGTATGCGTAAGTGTTCATCCCGGGTGGTTGGTTCCAATCTTGGGGATGATAATAGTGATACTCAAAAGGAGGAGGAGGAGGAGGAGAAGAAGAAGAAGGTGGTGTATCGGGCTCTGGGTCGGGGTCGGGCCTGGGCCTGTGCCTGGGCTTGTGTTTGGGCTCGGGGCTATGGTGAAGGTGAATGTGATCGGAGGAAGGAGAGCTCAATTCGGATCCAGAGGACAAATGCAAGTGAGAGCCCTCCTCGAGGGAATCGGCGTGGGAAATGGAAATGGAAGGGGAAGAAGAGGAAGTGTTGTTCTTCTTCTTGGGTTTGTGTTCATCGGAGGGCAATGTGAGAACCGGAGAGGAAGAACCGGAGAAAAAGAGGTCTTGGTCGGCGAATTTAGTAAGGGCGTCGCCGATGTCCCTGAGGGAGTGAAAGTAAGCGATGTGGGCTGCGGCGAGAGCGTAACGTTGTTCAGATGCGGCTTTGAGGAACTCCTTTCGCTCTCTGCATAGTGTCACCAGAGGAAGGTCCTCCACCTTGGAGCCTCCGCAGCCCATGTCAATCGAAGAACACAATACCCAAAACAATAAATTGGGTTGTTGATGTTGTTGTTGTTGGAGTAGATGAAGAAGAAGAACAAGAATGGTTGAGGTTGGCGGTGGATCATGGTGTCTGTGCCTGGGCGTTCAAATGCAGCAATGGAAAACTAAGCATAATGAATGAGAAAGCCAACACCTCAAGGGGTAATAAGTAAAAACGAAGCAAAAGAAGCAAAAGAAGAAAAAGCTCTTGTGCTTTTATAATCACTTACTAACATATCTAGAGAGAGAGAGAGAGAGAGTGGAGGAAATGTTATGCGATAAAAAAAATGGTGGAAATTGGTATGGAGATTGGTGATGTTGGGGATCTGTAAATTGTTGTTGGTGTTGGTGTTGTTAACCGAGGAGAAAATAGTCAGAAATTTAAATAAGTTTCAAAAAAAGAGGATGGAAATGAGAAACAGAAACAGAAACAGAAGGAAGAAGGGTCGTGGAACCCGCCAAGCGCCATTGGCAGGCAAAGGACCCCTTTCGTTATTATTACCATTACCCATGCCTTTTTTTTATTATCATTATTATTATTGGGTGCGTGTGTTCACGCTCGCAGTAACTTCGACTAACCTTATATTAGATTCATTCCACGTGTTCATTAAACATGCAATTTGACGTCAATACTCTTCAATGAGGTGGGGTCCCACTGTCCTTCTTCACATTTTCAATACTTACCCTTTCTTTGTTTAAGACATAGTATTATTGAATTCCTTTTTTAATCTCTCCTATTCTGTTATTATATATTATATTATATTAGTTCCATTTTTGTGTGTCAAAGACGGAAAATTCATCTTATGAACATGTTTAATGATTTGATGAACGGTCCAATTGTAATCTATTATATTTCGTAAAACGAAATATTATTTTAATTAATTATGGTTGATATCTGAGTGGATGTTGCTATCTAAAATTTGACAAAGTCATGTCAAATTTTGACATGAAAGGATCTGATCCCATAGTAATAGTGGAAATTATCAAACAGTGGTAGTTTAGTTGGCGCATGTGAGTTAAGTAGATAGGGATGAGAGTATGTATTCGAATCTCTCCAGTATCACTTTTGGAAAAGATTTAAAGCCTTAATCCTGGACCCGCTCCATATCAGATTAGTTGTGAAGCAATAAATCGTTTGAAATATTTCCAAAAATAAAAAAGTAAAAAGTGTGGATAAAGTGGCTTAATTATGATTTAACGCCCAATCTTGATAAAATTTCTTTTAAAGTATCTTGTATTTTTTAAGCCCTTCACAAATAGTAATAAATGCTTGCCTAACTCCCAAAAAAAAATTCTGGTGGAGCTTATTCCATAAATATACAATCATGAAGTTCTGCAAATTTCTCATTTAAATTTTAATTTAGAGGTTATTGTCTACTTAACTGCAGGTGAATATATTTATGGGTTCATTTTTTCTGTGGTTACTGCAGATAAGTTATCTAAGTCAATACGACGTCGTTTTGGGACGGAAATTATAGTGTTTTTGTAATTTTAATTTATTTTAGGATTATAATAGTCTTTATATTTATAATTTTTTAAGATTTAAATATCAAAACGACGTCGCTTTGGAAATAAATGCAAATAAATTCTTTGCATTAACTGCGGAAACATTTTTCCCTATATTTATTTATAAAAACCTTTTAACTTAAATCTTCAAAATAACTCACCTAAGATTCAAAGAGATCTTTCGCACTCTTCCGAAACAAACAGGATGAAGAATTTTCATTAATCGAAAACAAATAAAATTAAATTAATGAAAAAATAAAGAAATGGAATATTTTTTTCCTTAAAATATAAATAACTTGATCATACTATTATAATTAACGTGTAAAAATTAATTGGAAATCCAAAAAAATAATAATGATGGTGAGATAAACAAAAATACACATTTTAATAGGCTTTAATTTTTTTTCGAACAAAAATATATACAAATAATGTAACAATTGTGATGTACAAACTAACAATTCCTATACATGAATATACCTAGTAGTTATCAATTATCAGTGAGATAGATGCACGAGATGACGATGAGAGAACAAGCAGTGATATACCAGGATTTGAATTAAGAGTGGCAATTTTCAATCATAATACGACACAAATGTTTTGGCAAAATTAACACACAAAAATTCTGTAGTATTAAACACGAAATCAATCCAAGTTAATCTTCTTATAAGTTATTTATGTTATATCATGTCATTTCAATACGATATAAGTGAAAGCAACATTTAATATACAAATTATTTTATTTTATTGTATCGTGTCAATCCTCATAACAATGACATATTTTGAGATTAATAAATTATTTATATTTTGTCATGTCGGCCCGTAAAAATAAGGGTTCGTATTTGTGTCGAATATTTGATATTTTAAAATTTATATTGAGTTTGTGTTAAGTGTATTCATATTTATGTGAAATTTATGTCATATCGTATTATATCAATTCGAATTGTCATCCCTATTTGGAATCGAATGGTAATTTTCAACGCGATTAACTGATACGATACAAATATGACATGAGAAATTTATGTTTAAGTTGATCCAGTTTTAAATTTTTGTTATAATGCATGTCAACCCTCAAATACAAGACGAGCCACGTTAATCTTCTTTCACATTATTACAACATTGGTAAAATCAAGGTTCAAGACACTTTATTTGTGTTATGTAAATTTGCATAACAAATAAGATATTTTGAGATTGACATTATTAATGGGTTTATCAATTGCATAACCAAAAACTAAATTTCTACTGACCCATCGATTTGTGTGTAACCATTTTTCTTTTTTCTTTTCTAAAACATGTGAATCTACATCTTAGTTTATGTCTATAGCATTACTCAATGAGTTTCCTATAACATAATGTTTGTATTTTCCATTATTAATATCATGTTCATGTCAAAAAATTTAACACAAATTTTCATTCATCTTGTTTGATGTTTAATGTATTTGTGTCATATCAGACCTAGAGCCAATATAAACACGATCCAATGACACTAATTGCCACCCTTAAAAAATATAACAATAATAATAAATAAGGTTATTATCTTTATAAACTTAAAATATTAAAAGTCTTGATGTGGTATATTAAGATAAACAAATATAAAAATATAAAATTAGTATAAATTCATGCAGCAACTAAGCCGTACATCCTGTACTTGCTAGATATTCTTAATTCTAACAACTGTTTAGTCAGCTTGGAGGGTATGAGTTTTCTGTATTTTCATCACTTTTTTATGCTGGAATAATTTTGACTATATTTATTATTATATTACTCTTTATTCGATTTTTGCAAATTAAAAATTAAAAATTATATATAATGAGTATAAATTTATATTCTTTTCAATTTTGACTAGGTTAATTCAACCCCTCCTCATAAGTATTTAATTTGTTTTTCTTCATTACTCAAAGCAAGTTTTGACTGTGTTTGGTAAGCTGAACCCTTGAACTAATAAACCAATCAGAAAAATCTTTGGTTTTGGTGGGCGGAAGAGAATGCTTTGTATTTTTTTTTCCTTGTAATCTCCAAAAAAAAATTACAAAAACAAAAAACTACGCTTTGTATATATATTATACGGGTTTAGTGTTTGTCATTTTAAATGATATAAGTTATATCATTTTAAGAGAGATAGATACAAGGAATAAAAATCATCAAAGAGAAAGTGAGTATTTTTTTTTAATTTAAATTTTAAATAAAAAAATATTTTCTTGTGTCTATCTCTCTCTTAAAATGACACAAATTTATGTTATTTAAAATGATAAACACTTTTCTCATATTATATACCCTTCAATGAGACACACGACATTCAAACAAAACTACGCAAAGATCTTTTATTTGATTTAATTCCTCTAATGTAATTGAACAAGGATTTTTTTTTTTTTTTTTGGGGGGGGGGGGGGGGGGGGGGGGGTGGGGGTTAAACATGAACAAAGAGTTTTAGTAATACTCATACACGCACATATCACAAATAAATTAGATATAACTTGTAATGTATATTAATATAAAAAAATTGCACTTATATCTTATGCAATTGTTAATATGATTAAAGCCATTAAATAGTAAATTATCCGTACCAAAAAAAATTTATCCGTACAAAATTAAATGATGATGTGAAAATAAATTTACACTAAATGATATATTAAAATTAGACAAGGTTAATACATTATCAAATTAAAAAGCTTTTTGCTTTTTACTTTTTACTTAGCTTTTATATTTATTATTCAAAGTTTGTTCAAAGGTAGGGTAAACTTCGTTGTTTTATTTGACAGCTAGAAGGTTAAAAAATTAGAGATGTCGATGGGTAGTTATGTAGGATTTGACGGAAAATGGCCTCTCAAATGGTCTATGATAACTAACGCAATAAAGAAAGGAGAAAAAAAAAAAGGACTTTATTGCATACAACGTAATCATATAATAGCAAGTCTCCTTTACTAATATTTCTGCAAAAATAGAATAGCATTTTTTATCTTTGGGTTGAAAAAGAAAGCTTAATTATTTGCTTTTATTTATTTCCAACAAAAGGATGGTTGCGGCTGAATTCTGATTAACAATTCTGAGTTGGTCACAAAGGGAGATGGGTATAACCCCACCTACAAGTCACCGTTATGAGGTTTTGAGAGGACCCATGCTTGAAAGTAATATACATTTCTGCTGTAATGATAAGTAAGTTGATATTGTTATTGATGTCTTCAGCAAAGCTTTGTCCATTTTAGTTCTAAGTCGACCTAAAACATAACCAGGTAAGAAGCCACGTAATGAACGCCATTTTTTAAGTACTTCACATAAAGTATGTCTTTAGTTTATTTATGGAAAAAACAAGTATCATATTGTAGGACAATCCTATTGTCATGCTATAGAGACAATCACTGTGGAGTCCACCATTTAAAAAAAAAAAAAATTACAGCATAAATATCAATGTATGTATAGAAAATTCAACTTTTGTCATGTAATATGACAAATGCAAAACCCTTAGTTTATTTTACAAAATTGCATAAACATATTATAAATCAATTAACATCATAATTATGTCCTAGCTAGTGGGCTGTCTAGTTACACCTAAAATCAACTTTTATAGGGATTTTTTTTTTTAATATATGTTACCCAAGTAAACCCCCTTTTTCTGGGTCATTGACATTAACAGACATACTAGCTTCTTATGTATTCGTAAATTATACCAAAAGGATAAGAAAATTAAAGTAAATTTTTCTTATGGTTTTTATTTATTTAATTTTCAATCTGTAGTTTTTTAGGTATTTTTTGTATATTTTCTGTTGTTAAGGTATTCATTCTTATTTTAAAAATATCAGTTCTTATATTTCTATTCATCTGGAATTTGATATTTA